AATTGACGGAGCAATCATGGAACGATGATGCTCTGGGATTCCGCGAATCTCTTGCGTCATCGATAAATCAAAATGAACAGAATTGTCGAAGTCGGAGAAGCAAACACGATAGGGATTATGCTGCGAAGGGCTGACATCCTGAGTTATGTACACGTAGTACAATGACATAAAACGAGTTTGCGGGTTTAGCTCAAGAAGCTTCTCAAAGTTTGCAATCACCAGTGGGTTCATAATTTCACAACGGGTGAGGAGCCTGAGGGATAATTCCGAAAACCGATCAGAGAGTGGCAACATGCCCGCTAACACTTCGAGACTCATCGTATGAGTCGAGTGCATGCATCCTAATGCAATACGAAGACAGCGATACTGGATCCGTTCCAGTTTGATGATGTGCGTTTTAGCCGCCGACTGGAAGCAAAAACTACCGTACTCTAAAACCGATAAAATCGTTGTCCGGTACAACGTTAGAAGATCTTGCGGATGGGCTCCCCACCACGTTCCGGTAATTGTTCGGAGAAAATTGATCCTTTGTTGGCATTTCCGCTTCAGATACTCAATGTGGGATCTCCAGGTGCATTTTGAATCGAACCAGACCCCAAGATATTTGAAAGACATGGAATGAGTGATCGGCTTACCCAAAAGTTGAAGCTTCGGTTGTGCTGGGCTATGCTTCCTAGAAAAAAACGACCAACTCAGTTTTCTCCGTGGAGAATTCGATACCTAGCTGGATAGCCCAAGTAGACAAATTGTCTAAGGTATCCTGTAAGGGTCCTTGCAGGTCGGCCTCTCTGGGTCCTGTCATAGACACTACTCCGTCATCTGCAAGTTGTCTCAACGTGCAGTTGTCCCTTAGACAATTGTCAATTTCTCTGACGTAGAAATTATACAGAAGGGGGCTTAAACATGAGCCCTGGGGGAGACCCATGTAGCTAAATCGTGAAGCTGTAGAGTTTCCATGAGAAAAGCTCATATGTTTCTCTGACAGCAAATTGTACAAAAAGTTATTAATTAATGGAGAAAGGCCACAAGCGTGGAGTTTGTCTGAAAGGACTTCAACCGATACTGAATCAAAAGCCCCCTTAATATCCAAGAAGACAGAAGCCATTTGCTCTTTTTTAGCAAAAGCCAACTGGATTTCTGTGGAAAGCAACGCGAGACAGTCGTTCGTTCCCTTGCCCCTACGGAAACCAAATTGAGTATCTGAGAGTAGGTGGTTCAACTCAACCCATTTGTCCAGGCGAAAAAGGATCATTTTCTCCAACAACTTTCGAATACACGATAACATCGCAATGGGACGATACGAGTTGTGATCTGACGCGGGTTTTCCAGGCTTTTTAATGGCTATAACTCTCACCCGCCTCCAATCATCCGGAACAATATTTAGCTCCAGAAACTGACCAAACAAGTTCAACATGCGCCTCTTAGCGACGTCTGGGAGGTTCTTCAACAAGTTGAACTTGATTCTATCAGCCCCCGGAACCGAATTGCCACACGAAAGGAGCGCGAGTGAGAGCTCCAGCATTGAAAAAGGCTGGCTGATCTCGTCTACCGAATTCGTCGTTTCGCGAGGAATCATCTGTGCCGGCACAGAATCAGGACATACTTTTCGCGCGAACTTGAGAATCCAACTATCCGAGTACTCCTCGCTCTCGTTGTTTGAAGACCGGTTACGCATCCTTCGCGCCGTGTTCCAAAGCGCATTCATCGACGTTTCGCGCGATAAACCGTCCACGAATTGCCGCCAGTATCCGCGTTTCTTGGCTTTGATGAGGCTCTTGAGTTCGCGTTCAAGAGCCGAGTACGCTTCGAAATGTACGGGTGTTCCACGTTTCCGGAAAAGCTTAAACGCGTCGGACTTTTTACGATAAACCTCAGTGCATTGCTGGTCCCACCAAGGGGAAGGAGGTTTCCTACGGAAAGACGTTCCTGGAACCGGCCGAGTTTGAGCTTGAAGCGCGCTGTCCAAGATCAGATTGGAGAGGAAGTTATATTCCTCCAACGGTGGAAGCCCTTCTACCGACGTTAGGGCATCTTCTATCACATTTTTGAACTTTGTCCAATCGATATTACGGGTAAGATCGTACGCGACGTTAACGGGTTCCGACGGATTGAACCCACTGGCAACTGAAACTTTGATCGGCAAGTGATCACTACCGTGGGGATCTTGGATCACATTCCACGTGCAATCCAACGATAATGAGTTAGAGCAAAGTGTGAGGTCTAATCTGCTTCCATTCGAGGATGGGCCAGCCAAACGTGTTACTTCTCCATTGTTAAGAATTGTCATATTAAAGCTGTCGCAGAGGTCATATATCAAAGTAGAACGGTTGTCATCATACAGTTCCCCCCAGCCTGTACCGTGGGAATTCAAATCTCCCATAATCAACCGTGGAGCAGGAAGTACCGAACAGATATCTGAAAGTTGTTTTCGATTAACAACGGCTCTAGGAGGAATATAAACAGAAGCAATACAAAGGCTCTTACCTTTAATAATAGCCTGACATGCGACAACTTCAATACCTGGAAATTGTGGAAGATTCACTCTATAGAAAGAATGGCACTTTTTGATCCCCAAAAGTACCCCTCTTCCACGCGAATCCTCACGATCCAGTCGAATAATGTTAAAATCATAAAAAGGAAGATCGATATCTGAAGAGAGCCAAGTTTCACAAAGAGTAAATGCATCACAATCATTATTGTGAACTAAAAACTTAAAAGAGTCTAATTTAGGAATAAGACTTCGACAATTCCACTGTAGAATAGTGATCAAATCCCCGACCTCGTTTGGAAAATTATCCATCGAAGGAAATGATTGCTGCAATGAGGGGCCACTTCAATGTCAATTGCTTCAAGAGGGTCTTCACAGAAGGAAGCATTGCCAGAACAATGCTTTTGAGAGGATCAGAAATATTGAGGTACTTGAGAATATCGTCCACAATTTTATCAAATGAGAACAACCCGGATGAAGAAGGGGCTTCTGTTCTTAAAAATGGGCCATCAGGGGTTTTTGATGACCCCGGGAGAGATGGAAAATTCTGGTTATAGTCAGTTCTGCGGAAACCAGGAGGAGTTGAAACTTCCTTTTTTCCATCACTCCTTGATTTGGGCAAGCTGATTTGGGGTTCCTTATCTGCAACTTTCCGCGAACGGATGCGTTTTCGTTTCCGTGCAGAACCTTCCGGAAAACTGAAAGAAACTCCCTCCTCAGCCAAGTCAGAGTCAGACTCGTCATCAGACAAAACAGCAAAGGGATTTTTGTCGTTGGTTGATGGTGTGGCTGTTTTTAGCATGGCTGCAAAAGACTGCCTGGAACGCTCCTTAAGAGAGCGTTCTAGTTTCTCCCCGCGTTGTTTGTACGCCGGGCACGACGAGAGACCATGAGGAGTTCCCTTACAGTACACGCATTTTGGTGCAGTGACTGTGCAGGCGCCATCCTCGTGCTTCTCCCCGCATTTGGAACAGCGTGCCTTGCTGCCACAGTGAGAGGCCGTGTGTCCCAACTGTTTGCAGTTTTGGCAGTTCATGACCCGAGGAACAAACAAACGCACAGGTAGCCGAAGTTTTCCCAACTCGATGTAGTGAGGAAGGGCTGAACCAGAAAAGGTCACCCGAAACGAGTCTGTGGGGGTAAAGCTCTTTTTACCCTCGCTGAAAGATACTGAGTTCAGTTTCTGGACTTCCAGTATCTCAACCGTGGGAAGCAAGGGGTTCTTGAAACGGCCAACCGCTTGCTTCGCCAAGATCTCGGGGGTCAGACTCGCTTCGGTGACCACACCTTCGATCTCCACATTACGAGCTGGGATGTACACTCTATACTCGAGTGTAAAGAGCTGGGAGGCAGCAATCTCGTTAGCTTGTTTCAGGTTAGAGACGACAACGCGAAGTTTATTGTACCTCACCTTCGAGATTTCGGTCACGGCCGAGAACCGCTTCGTCAGATCATTAGTAATTTGCATTACATTCAAAGGTTTCTTTTTGGGCTGAAAGTAAACAACCCATGGGCCAGTCGAGTCTTCTGGGTAGGCTCGCGATCGGGGGCTTATCTGTCCCTGTCCATTACCAGACTGAGATGACGAAGCAGGGATGGCATCATCTGATTTCTTGGATGACAGACGTTTTCGACCCTTCTTGCTATCGCGTGGCAAAGTGGTGTCATCTTCCGACAAAACGTCCATTTCGTCTTCCGACAAAATGTCCATTTTGCCGTACTAGTGGGAGCGAAAAACGCTCTACCACTGCAACGATAATCAAAATTACTCGGACACAATACACGAAGAAAAAAAATACTAACACAGAAACACAAACTTAAAATTTAACAGATGGGAGAAAGAAAGAAACAAGAAACAAAAACTTATCTGATAATCCTATACTACTATCACCGAGCGTTTACACAGCAGCAGCGGAGCGATGCGCAGCTTGGATGATCTTCGATCCGCGTATGCGGGCGGTCTTCGTTGGTGTGTGCTTGTATGAAGCTCGGCACTCAGCTGAACACACGATGATGGATGAGCGGCTTGAATGTGGAGGCAGATGCTGACACTCGTTGACGATGATCCGTGTGCACAGGTATGCGTGACCACGCACCGATGATGCGCAAAATGATTGGCGAATTGCCAATCGCAAAACCAATTATCGATGATGCCGAAAACACACTTTCTTCTCAGAAAAAAACTCACTTTTTGATAAATTTATCGGGAATTATGCCAGGAATCACTAAGCGAGAAAAACTGATTATTTACGTCAGATAATAGCGAGAAAACTTCCAAATTAACGGAGCGCGAAACAAGCCGACCGTACTTCTTGCTAGGACGCAGTGGTGTCAGGTTAATGCTTATGTCAGCATGATATAACCGATTACAAATATCTTAATTTTCGGTTCGTTAATCGATTAATCGATTATTCGAATGAAAATCGGCCATCACTATATGAATGTGAAACGTCATTTCAAATTTAAGGTCGTACATAAATAATGAAAGGGACCGGGGCTAATCACAAATTACGTCCCCATGGTAACTGAAATAAACACGAGTGCGGACCGGTTGGTGGAATCTTCTTGATCAGTTCCTCCAGACTGATTTCTTCGCCATTCGAAGAAACGAACGAGGAAGAACTAGACGAAGACGTGGACAGCCGTTGCTTCGACGTTGGTTTCTTTCGTTTAGAAACCAGATTGGAATCACTGTCGTCACTGTCTTTTGTGGTTCGTCTGTTCTGAGATTTGCGTTTGGTCGTCGATGCAACTGACTCTTCAGAATCTGAATCATCCGATTTAATATGACGTCTGCCACGAGATCAGCCCCTAGAACTCCCCTCTCTGCTACTGGCTTCCACACGTCAAGCTGCTTCCGCTCTTCGAGAAGCCTCGGCTAGCTGCAAACAATCGGAAGACAAAAGGTGCAAACATAGTTCTTCGAGGGAACCTCCATGCACTGATCGTAGCGACAAGTCGAACCGCACGTTGCACACAGGATCATATCCCAACGCTTGCAATCGTAATCTCGCCGATACCGACAGCGACACGCTTCAGCGTCACACTCCGAAGGACGTTCCAACTGATCGTTGAATGCATTCGGTTCAGGCTCCCACGAGGCATCCCTGGAACAAATAAAATAAAATATTCAGTATTCAAATACCCACCTCTGCTTCACTTACTTTTCCGGAATATAAATGCCACGCTGCTGCATCTGCTGACTAAAGTCGTCCTTGTTGTTGCACAAAGGGCACTTGAAAAAGTACCTCGCCGATTGGGCAAACTGTGCCATGCAGCTCCGATGGAACCAGACATTCTGACAGCACGAATCGATTCCAGCTTCCTGTACGGTCCCATCTCATCGTAGCAAACCCCACAGGCTTCGGTCCCGGATTATTTCACCTTACCCACCAGCGCTACGTGCTTATCGCACCACGACTGGAACGTATCCACGTAATGCGACAGGCACTCATTCTGCATCCCACAAAGCGTCTGAAATGAACGGAAGCACTTCTTCGTGCAACACAAAACGTTCGCATACCGTTCCTTGGGGCCCATGCATTAATTATGTCACGCTAAATCGAAGAGAAATTTACCCCCCACCCCTATCGTGACGTTTTTTCTATACCTAATGCATTGCTTGTCACAAAATCTTAGACCCCCCCCCCCCTAGAGCGTTTTTTTTTTTTTTTTTTTTTTTTTTTATACAGGGGGGAATCTGCTCCCAGACACCTGAGAAGATAACTCAGGGTGTGGGGATGGGAGAAGTAGCTCTCCCGACCCACTAAACCTTACCCTGTGCTCTAGACCCTTGCCCTCCCCGGAACCGCCCGAAGGCATTACGTCATGGGAGGGGGCCGGTTGCGCTATGGCGCATCACTAAGTGTTGTGTCAGACATGACACTCGCTACTGCACAGTGAGCAGCTGTGCAGGGCCTTCCTCTTGTTGCTCGCTGTTCGTTGTTCGCCTGAGTTCTAGAGCAGACGTGATAGCCAGCCAACTGTCCAGGGCCCATACAGGACAGATGTGACCGCTTACCAGCTGCGTGTGCTAAGCACTCTAAGAACCCGGCGTCACTCCTGCCTTTGCACAACGAGGGTTTGTGCAGGGCTTCTCAACCTCCTCTTGTTGTTCGCTGTTCGTTGTTCGCCTCGGTTCCAAGCAGACGTGATAGCCAGCCAACTGTCCAACAGGGTAGCTTAGGACAGATGTGACCGCTTACCAGCTGCTTGTGCTAAGCACTAAGAACCCGGCGTCACTCCTGCCTTTGCACAACGAGGGTTTGTGCAGGGCTTCTCTGCGGTAGTTCGTTTAGCCGCAATATCTCTCCCTTGGGTTCGATAATTAACGTTTCCAGGGCACACCACGAGGAGGCGAACTACTTCATGCCCCACCACCCCCTAGAGCGTGACATAATATATGCATCAACCCTTGCAGATGTAACACTTTTGTCCTCGCATACGAGCTTCCTCATTTCTGATGTCCTCCTCCATGAATCCGAAGATTCCCTCCTCGTCTTCAGGTAACAAGGTACACGTAGCAGGTATAATGACTAGTTTTGCCACGTATAGAAGACCAGTCCAGAATAGTGCATCGTACCGCAATCATGCTCAAACGCTTGACATACAGCATCTCTAGCCGTAATAAATTAAAAAAAAATCGGTTTCATCCGATCCTCCTTCATTCTCACCTCCAGCACGTCGATCGCCTTTTTGATTCGATGGATCTCGGCATGATTTTGGAGTAAATTTTCCTCCTTTAGATCGCCCTCGTCGAGAGCTTCCGGTTCCGCTACGGAGTAACGAATGCATACCGAGGATGGCCGCAAAAAAATTATAATAAAATAACGAAATCACAATGAATTTTACGGTTGAATTTTGGGCACATTAAAAATTTATTATTAATATTGGAAAGGAGAAATAATAAATTTCGTTTTTAACGATACAATTATCAATGTTTTGGTTGGTGGTAGCCTTATACATTTTATGAATAATCACATTATCCATTTTATGAATAATCAGCAATGGAAATTTGCCAAAAGGTATAAGGGGATTTTTATCAGTGCTGGCATCGGTAGCATTGGTGCTCAGTACGGAAAACCAGATCAACGAAAAACAAATCAAAGGAAAAAAAAGAAATGAGATTAACAGAACTTTATCTGTACAAGTTCAGAAAAAGTTTCATATTTTTGAATTTCCTGCAGAGTTTTAAACTTTTTTCGAACAGTCCGCAATTCAAAAACAAGAGACAAAAGCGTGACATCAAATCCTATGTCCCGATCGATTCGTACAGAAGTTTCAATGCGCCGCCTGTTCGGAAAGGATTCCCCGTGACATGAGCGAGCGTCACTACGCGAAGCATGCTGGCCATACCTATCGGGTTGATATCGATCTGTACGACGAAACTACTGCCACGGCGATTGTAATCCGCTCCATGAAAGTGCAGCGGCAAGTGACGATCTACTGCGACAAATGCAACGTGCCTAAGAAATCGGCTTTCAGATTAGTATTCCACCGGTTGGTTTGGCAAACACGACCAGTACTCGCACTGTCTGGTTCTGCAGAATAATAAGAAGAAGCTGGAGCAGACAAAACTGATATCCGGCAGCTTGGGTGGATCCTTCCAGTTCCGCTACGGAGGAGTGAATGTATACCAGCATACCGAGTATGGCCGGGTTCTGTTTGGCGTCCAACAACGATGTCTATGTCTTCTCGGTCGCGAATGACTGTGACTTAGGCTTCTAGCACGGACTGAAGAAATCTGTAGCAACAATTGCAACAAGCGCGAGTCATTGACAGCTCAACATCGTTTACTTGTGTTAACCCGATGTGTTCATCCCTAATCATTTTGGCCTATGGTCTTTCATTATACAAAAGAAGCGATATAATGACATGCTGTTTGACAACAGGCTCTCCCTTTCAATTTTCGGTAGAGAAAAAGGGATAACAGGCGGTACCCCCATAGAGGTAACTCTAAGACCACTGGGTCCCGAAGAAAATCATTATTATTTTTGGCTCACTCAGTACCAGAACAACGGTCCCAAGCAGTCCCAAGCTATTTCACTCACCCCTGCATGTTCTGCATGAATCCACACACCCCTGATGTTATCTGTCAAACTTTCATAGCGAATCAAAACAAACATAGTGTAGTAATAGAATTTCAACTAGAATAGGGTACGTTAATCGTTTGCTTGGGACCAATAGGCTACTAAAGTGGTGAGCCAATTTAAAATCGTTAGTTTCGTATTGATTGTTGGTACCCCCATAGAGGTAACTCTAAGACAAGTAGGTCCCGAAGAAACGTGCTCAACTTTTTGGCTTACCTCTGGTACTATCTTCGGTCCCAAGCTTGTCGAATCACCCCTCGAAACATAGGAAAAACCAATAACCCCTCATTTTATCTGTCAAACTTTCATAGCGAATCAAAACAAACATTGCGTAGTACTAGAATTTCGACTAGAATAGGGTACGTTAATCGTTTGCTTGGGACCAATAGGCTACTAAAGTGGTGAGCCAATTTAAAATCGTTAGTTTCGTATTGATTGTTGGTACCCCCTAGTTTAATCTAGTACATATGAGTAGATAGTGTTGCCGTGAGGTACACTCGAAAATTGTAAATGTAAGTGCGTCAAATCAAATTTCGAGCCGCTCCGTCTGTCACTTCGTTTGTGCTTTGCACACTGTCAAAGAATCATTGTACACAAAATCAACTTTGTTCAAATCAAAACAAAAAAACTAACCCATCTGGTGGATGATGGCACAAGCTTCCAAGAAAATTCTATTACAGTGAACCACATTATTTAAATGGATTTCTTCGCCAGTAAGTCGTCTGTCACTTCGTTTGTGATTAAACTGTCCAATATTGGACCCTGCCAACACACGGCGCCTGCACGGTAATGTGGGCCGCCAGAAAGGTTCATCGGTTGCGAAGTGAAGTGCTTCTCAAACTGAAGCGATACAAATTTTCTCAATTTTTCAACGTTATCCTACACGAAACGAAAATCAATTATTTTATTCATGTGTTTCACTTATACATTTTTGCCAAACCACCAAGGGCAAATTTTGATTATGTCGAAAGTAACATTCGCACCGATCCGAGAAAAATAAAGTTTTGTTTTGATGACCGAAAAGTTATTCCTATTTCCAATTACACGCATATAATCTCATAGTGATAGCAATGTTTAGCATATTAAGCAGGTTTTTAATCATACAAAGCATATCGCTAGCTTTCATGCTATAAAATACAGGGTTTTAAGTTAAAAGGTATTATACGTCGTTTGGTGGCCCCTAATGTTACTTAAGTCAACGTGTATTTACCAGGATATTCGGGAGAATTATCAATCACGTCTCCTTACGTGCAGCCCATCCATCATTTTAGGACCACCGAAGTCATCTTAGCAACAAACAGTTCGATTTTTTTTTTTCAGTTCGTTTATTTGGCAGGCTCAAATGTTATAAAAATAACTTAGCGTTGCCGAGTAACATAGAATACCAATTTTGGTACTCAAAATACAATAAAAAATATATATATATATATACAAACATATTTTATCATATGATTTTTCTTGGTGGCGATCGAAGCGGTGACAAAGCGGTCTTCTCCCGTGCACGCAACTTCTTTCTTTCCCGAATTTGTTCCTCATTTTCATTGAACCCGAATCGTGATCGCTGCTGCTGCTTCTGAACATCGTTTCCCGTTGCATGCTCTCCGCTACTCTCGTCGGTCGTCGGGGTCGTCACGTCCATTTCGTTTTCTTCATTCAACATCTCCAACCCCGTGTCCGTTTCCTGATCGCTAATGACAAACGACGCACCTTCCACCACTACACCAGCATACGTACTGCTGCTGTTTTGTTTTCTTTCACTTTGCTTTCCTTTTTCCTTCAGTTGCTTCTCCGGTTCCTTCCGAGCCTTCCGCTTGGGACAGGAAAGCTTCCGGTGTCCGTCCGCTTTGCACAGAAAACATTTATCTTTGTTGCCATCATAAAAAATATTTCCTTTGCGATTGAAGAAATGTAATGACGTGGGGATTTCCTTCTTCACATCCATATATATACCGCGTATCCCTGTATATACCTCAAAACACAGATCAGTTGGAAATTTCTCCCGGATGATGCGTTTAATTTTCCCATATTTCCCCAGCACTTTATCCAGCTCGTTGTCGGGTACCTCTGGTGGCAAGTCATACACACGCACATATTGAATGAATTCACCAGCATGCGACATGCGTACCTTTGCCGTCGTTCCATTCGCATAGTGGAAGATTAAATCCTCCGAATTGAATGTCAGAGCATGGAGCATCGCTTCCTCTGATTTGAACTTCATGAAGACTCCCCTTTCCTCACCAATGCGATAAACAGCTTCCATTTCAGCCGGATCCGCGTCGAGTGCTTTGGCGAAATTTACTATCTCTCCGATGTTTGGTTTAGCATCACAATGGCTTAAGCTAAACTTGATGGTATTTTTTACTTCACACATCTTGCACCGTAGCAATAAAAGGCACCGAACTGCTAGCAACGAACAAAGAGCAACTATATAATAGCAAGTCTCGAAAACAGGCTATCGCGTGGTTCACAACGAAATAAAAAATCGACTGACAGTTCGATTTATTGACTTTAATAATGAGAAAGCGAAACGGCGAACGTACACTTTTCACAGGTTTATCTGCGCTGTTACTTAAGACAAACGGCATCTCCATAGAAATCGAGTGACTTAAGTAACATCGAAAAATATTTTGATCGGAAGGTGATTACGTCAAAAAGCAATTTGACTGGTAAATAAATTTAAAAATGGGATGAGATCCTATATTCGGACAGTATATAGTGTAATAGCAGGAGCTTTTTTTTTTTTTTTTTTTTCTTTATTATAGAGATTTTTAGCCTGAGGCTAGTTCATCTCTTAATAGCAGGAGCTTCGATTGACACTGATAGCTCAACTTTGCTTACCTTTGTTACTTTCGACGTAATGAAAATTTGCTCTTCCTATAAGAATGCATAAAAGGCATGTGTGACTGCTTATACGTCATTTCATTTGACACATGCTCTTCATTAACATTTGAAAGGCGCCTGCTTATTATACTTCTACATGTTATGAATAATCAGAAATATAAATTTGCCAAAAGGTATAAGGAGATTTCTATCCATGTAACGTAAACTTAATATTATGACCCATATGCCCGTCCACGCCCGAAACCCATTCACCACAAAAAATCAAATAAAAATGTTTCTGTATGGCAAGCACTTTCAGGCATTAACGAGAATATGGGTGTATATCTTCACTGTAATAACTACGCGCAATCATCGAAAGTACTTGCATTTTACTCAGGCACTTTTGACTGCAATCTGCAATCACTCTCTCATACTCGAAATGTGCCACGACCAAATTGGCACAACGACGCCCTATACGCTATCTGACCAAAGCGCAGGGATTCCCCGCCGCTAATACGTGAGCAAATCAAGCGCACACTTATTTTGCCAGTAACGGTTTTTAAAAATATTAGTCGTTTTTGGAATTCGAGGGTCACTTTTTTCCCACCATTCATTGGCACCCTAACTTTTATCTTAGAGAAATAATTATAATAGAGAGCTCACTTAATCATTTCCCGAATAAAATAATTTCAACACTGTCATGAGCGCAATCTATTGATAAACGGGTGAAGCTTTTTGTTCCTGCCTTGTGCATTTTGTGTTCGTACCGTGCGCATGCATATTAATTACCGGCGCATTTTCTTTGACAATGAAAACCGAGATGACAACTTGATCAGCTGGAAGTTAAACTCGATTGAGTTTAGAATAGGTCCGATCTTCATTTGTCGATCAAATAATCGATTTACTTTATTCGCTTTCTACCGCAATCTGAGCGACGGATTTGCTATACTTATACATGCAATCAACAGTTCAAGGTTTGAGTTTTTTGATTGCGTGAGTCAATATTGCAAATCCATCGCGGTTGCGGTAGAAACCGAATAAATTTATTCGATTCTTTGATGGAAAAATGGAGATAGGACCTATTCTAAAATCAATCTAGGTCCATACAAAAGGTCTATACCACAATAATAAAAACAACCTCAATTTTTGATGCTTTCCTCATTTTTGAATAATTCTAGGTAAACATTTCAAAGGGTGCTATCTGCATTGATCGATTCTCTTCATTGACTTCCTCTTTTGTTAATAACTCAGCTGCAAAACTTTTCCTTGTTGTATTTGAAGTCGATGAAGAGAATCGACAGATAGGACCATTTAAAATGTTCATCGAGAATTATGTGGTAATTATTGATACAAAAAGATCTTTGCTTCTACGGAAAAAAGTGCGTTGGAATGCATTTTTTGCATTTCTAAAATTAATATTATCAAATTATATCCCGGTACTGTCATTCCTTCGGTGTTGAACAAGCTTCGAACGGATTTTGGAATTCTTCGTCACTGTGCCCGTTTCAGACACGCTTCGTGCTTTATTTTGCTGCATGCCTATCCGGTAGTCCAATGTACACTCGATATTTGATTTTCGTCGAATGTATAATTTTCACAAGTTTACTCCTGCCTTTCAATCTTGAAGCGTGTATCAATAAATAATTACTTGTTTGGTAAGTAGACAGCTGGTAGTTCATCGTACATGTAAAATGCGCACGCTTGCTGTGAATTAGTTCACCCGTTGGCTGTGATAATTGAAAGAGGCGCTGTTTCAGTGATGCGAGGTTTCCTTCGAAATGAGCTCTCTATTATAATTATTTCTCTAAGCTTTTATCTAATATGCCTTGGCGAAGACCCAAAAAAAAACAAATTTTTTATCAGCATTTATTGTAGCTCTTCAAAAGATGATGACGGAGTTAACATCTTGCATGTAGTATTACAGTTCTTTTGCTTAAGATAATGATCAGCATTTTTCTGTAATGTTCAGCAAATCACTATGTTCCTAATGATGTTCAGCATGTTCCTTGCGCTTCGACTCAGCCCATTTGGCAACATTACCAGGCGAGTTGGCTGGAAAAGAGGTTTCAAGGTTAGACTAGTTATTCAAAGACCACTATTTTATGGATAAATCCAAAGGATCTCTTATCTTACCCAATTTGCTGATTTTATAGAACAGAGGGATCGACACTCCGAAAGCGATGAAATAATAGCGCCAGATCCATTGATTCTTGAAGTAGTGCTGGAATGGGAACTGTGCGATCTGAGCCGAGAAAGTGTACGGGAACTTCATGGGGCGTGCCACCGGGTCAGACATTTTGATGGATGTTTGCGTCCTAGCGTTTGCTCAACTGTACACAATTAAACCTGCGAATTTTTTATTTATAATTTGAATTCCGGAATAAATCTCATGATTATGTAATTTTCCTCTCTACCGACGAAACTTACTCTTCCAAGCACTCGAACAAGAATCACAGCGTTTCACCAGAAAAAATGGAAAACTGAAAAGACAGTGTCTGACAGTGACAGTTGTTTGTTGGTACTGTTAAATCCTTACACGCTCGTTTATTTTTACTCTAAAGTGAGTAACTTCTACTCAGTTTGGTATTTTTATTCAAAATGTCAAAAACTGAGTAACATTTACTCTGTTTATCTTAAATCAATTATTACTCACTTTAGAGGAACCATCCAAAAAATTACTCATCGTGCATTTGTCAAAGAGTTACAAAATGTTCGTAGTCCCCGTTTTTTCTTCAATCATGAAATTCCTATCGATATAATAATTTAAAATTGGGTTCTTTAAGGGTATTGAGGTAAATGCATTTTCGTAATCAGCTTTAAAAACGGAACCCAAATCCCAAATTTCATCAATTTTGGTACACTGGAACTATTTTAAATAAGTACGATTGCATTTGCAACAATCACCTTATTAGCGCCCCTCGGTGTCACTTTGTATGGTAGTGAGCTGTCAGTTTATTAGGTTGGTGTCAAACAGTGAAGTTATTATTTTGCTTTAAATCTTGATTTAAAAATCGTGATGAAAGTGTGTGGGTTCGAAAAAAATATCGCTGTGCTAAGAAAACGAAGCTCTTTCAGATGATGTATAAAAAACGAAACATTTTTCAAAATTAAAGAACCCAATTGTAGAATCAACATCGACGAGCATTGCAGCATCTTCAGAAACCAACTATTTCGAAACCAAACAGGAACCATTGCAGAACAAAGAGGATGTGTGGATTTTGCAGCAGAAGGAAATTTTGGACCTGGCGAAAGAGGAACATTACCCGCATAAACACGAACCATTAATTGACCTTACCTAAAATGGTTAAAAATTGTTTATAATCCCTGCTAAACTTTAACTGAAATGGTTATGGAACTTTACATGAACGTTTAATGATAAAGTTTCAACCTTATGTATTATGGTTTTTTGGAACTGGACCTTACAAATAATGGGTTTTTAAGAACCATTACCATTCCAAATTCTTGTTTTCTCCATACTTTTTCAGAAAGAGAACTATATAAGAACGTTTTTACTTATGATTTGAGAACATTAATGGTAATGGTTATGGTAGTCAGTAAGGTCCATTAAAGGTTTTGTATTATCGCTCAACTTTACGTGGAATATATCGTGAATTGGTAATCAGTAAATTACAGGCAACCAATTCGCGATATATTCCACATAAAGTTGATCGATGTTACAAAACCATTCGTGGACCTTACTGACTACCATAACCATTACGATTAAAGTTATCAAACCATAAGTTAAAAGGTTCTATTATTTGTAAGGTCCAGTTCCAAAAAACCATAATACATAAGGTTGAAACTTTATTATTAAACGTTCATGTAAAGTTCCATAACCATTTCAGTTAAAGTTTAGCAGGGATTATAAACAATTTTTAACCATTTTAGGTAAGGTCAATTTATGGTTCGCGTTTATGCGGGTAGGCAAGATGCCAATCAACTTTTGTGTAGGATCGGGAGACGTTCGAATTATCTCAATGTCTGGAGCAATTCAATCGCCAGCATTACTTTGCACTTCATACTCGACTTTATATCAACAAGCCAGAAGGTAGATTTCTTTAAACTGATTTTGTGACCGATGATATGTAGAAAGTTCGAATCAACTTTCAGAGGACTGATGTACCAATGTTCTCCATATGAGAAGTCTTCAAAATTAATGGTATCTTTGCAATGTAACGAGATGTAACCTTAATGTTATTATTTTATCTTTTAATAAATGTGTTGTTTACTTTTCTCACATTCTCTAAATGTCAATTCAAATTACTCATTTTAAATACCGATATATTTTACAAGAACTGAGTAACATTCACTCAGTTTTGCTAATTTCCCGAAAACCGGAACTGAGTAGAAGTTACTCTGAATTTGACAAATGCATCCATTACTCAAAAGTGAGTAACTTGGGTTTACTCTCTTTAGAGTAGTTCCACTTTTACCGAAAGTGAGTGGATTTCTACTCACTTTAGAGTAAAAATGAATGAGCGTGTACCCACCATGGTTCCAATTCGCCTTGACACCAGTCCCGAAGTGACGTTTCTTCACACACATTTTGACAGTTCCTTATGGGGTTTTGCGTTGGAGTGAGAGAATAAGAAAAAGTTCACCATGTTTCACACATAGACTGACAGATACATATGAGATTTCTCCATAGGAGTAAAGAGTTACAGAGCTCTCGTCAACGCCAATCGAGCAAAGCTGTGCTTGTTTGACGATTCACGGAAAAACGAGTCTATGCATTAATGAATATTTTTCAACCACTTTTGGGAGCTTGTTCGAGCTGTCATAGATTGGTTTAAATGTATAGCAAAAAAGTGTATACAATCCCTAATAAAAATTGTATGGTTAATTTGCTTAACGACGTGTTCTGGGTATCATCCAAACCATTTGTGGAATAGTTCAATGATTTTGGTTATCGTTCGTTTATGGTTATTTTTTATTAGGGATTTAGACATTTCCAGAGAAAACCATTTTTCAACACAAGTGTTTAAATTTTATTCACTATTGGCTGAAAAAAAACTTGACAAAAATCATTTTTAGAAAACGCGGCAGCCATCATTGATCAACTTTTCGCAGGTAGATATATTGTTTATAGTATATTAGATACAATTTAATAGTAATTTATCATTCTCTTTTCATTTCCAGAGTTCGGTGAGAACTACCAGAAGAAGCCATCAACGTCGCCAGCAGTGGGAATCAGGAATTGCTACTTCCTTCGCAATCGAGTGGCGGACCGAAAATGAAGTTTTTTTTCCGTTTCCGACTTTGGAGAGATGGAAACAACTTTCAATGGAAAAGCAATCACTAAAATGACCTTTCCCAGCATGATTTCCGGTTCATTACAGTCTTTCCCAAGCAATAAGTACTACTGTAAATATTCTTCTTGCCATGGTATTGACACCACAATGCTTCGCTTATAGACTGAATCAGACTAAATCGTCCTCCTTCCAGCAGGCTGAAACGGCTTTACAACATCATCGGCATAGCAAGGTATCATCGCGGATGGACCACTGGCGGAGCACCGACCGATACAATCAACAAGACTTCGTCTACACCCACCGCGGGTTTGGCTGACTGCGGGATCATCTGTGATACAGAGCATGATCTATTTCATCGATATACTGCAGAACGTCATGGCGCAAATAGTTCCGGCCAATGGAAATCATGTGTGAGTATTGCCGTATGCCCACGATCATCAGATTTTAATAATAATTGTGCACCTGATGAACTGTGTTTATTCATCAAGAAATACACATAACTTTTTATTGGTTTTTTATTTTATTGCTATCATAATAAATTATTTTGAAAATATGAGAAATCAACCATATAAAATCCTTCCGGTGTATAAAATTTAACCACTTTTGAGAAAAACGTCTTTATTCAGTAATGATTAAAATTTAATCACTTTCGAGAAGAACGCGTTTATCCATCCGATGAGTAAACAGCGTTTATTCATTTTATGAATATGTGCGGGTTTTCTCGAAACTGTTTAAAATTTAAACATTAATGCGTACTTTTTTCTTAGCGTGTATATAACGTACACGCTAAGAAAAAAGTACGCATTAATGTTTAAATTTTAAACAGTTTCGAGAAAACCCGCACACATTCATAAAATGAATAAACGCTGTTTACTCATCGGGTGAATAAACGCATTTTTCTCGAAAGTGATTAAATTTTAATCATTAATGAATAAGGACGTTTTTCTCAAAAGTGGTTAAATTGTATACACCGGAACGATTTTAAATGGTTGGGTTCGTGTATTTTCAACATATTATATAAACAATTACATTCAAATAAAAATCAATAAGAAGTAATATTTCAGTTGTTCACCACCATTTTCTTTTCCAATGGGTTTTAAATTAATAAAAATGAATACAGTTGAAGCATGAACATGACTTCATCAATAAACTTTATTTGTCTTATTCTTATAACTAACATATGTTTTTTTTTATTAAATAGATCTTAACCTAACAATAATATCTTACAAGCTAAGTCAACCGCATCATGCGACACATCAAATTACATGAGAATTCAATTTATGGTTCAATGGAACTCAAATTTAGTTCCAAGAACCACTTTACCCTCATCCGGACACATTTCGGGTATCCCGGGGGAAGAGGCCAACATTTGATTAGGGTCAAACCCATCATGCGACACATCAAATTACATGAGAATTCAACGACTGGTTCAATGGAACTCAAATTTAGTTTCTAGAACCGCTTTGGCTAGATCGGACACATTCCGGGTGTCCCGGGGGAAGAAGCCAACATCTGATTAGGGTCAAACAAATCATGCGACACATCAAAATACATGAGAATTCAATTTCTGGTTCAAAGGAACTCAAATCTAGTTCCAAGAACCACTTTGGCCACATCCGGACACATTCCGGGTGTCCCGGAGGAAGAGGTAAACATCTGATTAGGGTCAAACAAATCATGCGACACATCAAAATACATGAGAATTCAATTTCTGGTTCAAAGGAACTCAAATCTAGTTCCAAGAACCACTTTGGCCACATCCGGACATATTCCGGGTGTCCCGGGGGATGAGGCCAACATCTGATTAGGGTCAAACAAATCATGTGACACATCAAAATACATGAGAATTCAATTTCTGGTTCAATGGAACTCATATCTATTTCCAAGAACCACTTTGGCCACATCCGGACACATTCCGGGTGTCCCGGAGGAAGAGGTAAACATCTGATTAGGGTCAAACCCATCATGCGACACATCAAATTACATGAGAATTCAACGACTGGTTCAATGGAACTCAAATTTAGTTTCTAGAACCACTTTGGCCACATCTGGACATATTCCGGGTGTCCCGGGGGAAGAGGCCAACATCTGATTAGGGCCAAACCTCGGGCCAAACCTCGGGCCAAACCCATCATGCGACACATCAAATTACATGAGAATTCAACGACTGGTTTAATGGAACTCAAATCTAGTTCCTAGAACCACTTTGGCCACATCCGGACACATTCCGGGTGTCCCGGGGGAAGAGGCCAACA